AGTTAAATGTGACTCATGAATCCATAAAAATCCTAGAAGAAAATGTAGGCAACAAAATTTCAGACATCATATGCAGCAGAATTTTCACTGATACATCACCTACGGCAGTAGAAACAAAGGAGAAAATGAACACATGGGACTACATCAAACTCAAAAGCTTCTGCACAGCCAAAGAAACAACCATCAAAATGGAAATGTATCCACTCTATAGGAGTGCATAATTGCCAATGATACATCAGATAAGGGTTAATTTCCAAAATATTTAGAGTGCTCATACAGCTCAACAAAAAGGAAGACAAAAATCCCAATTAAAAAATGGGCAGAGGAACTAAAAAGACACCTCTCCAAACAGGGCATACAAATGGCTAAGAGATATATGAAGAAATGCTCAACATCACTAATCATCAGAGAGATGTAAATTAAAACAACAATGAGGTATCACCTCACACCTGTGTGAATGGCAGCCATCAACAAATCATCAAACAAGTGTTGGCAAGGGTGTGGAGAAAAGGGAACTGTAGAACACTGTTGGTGAGAATGCAGACTGGTGCAGCCACTGTGGAAAACATTATAGTGTTACCTCATAAAATTAAAAATTGAACTACCGTTTGACCCAGTGATCCCACTGCTGGGAATATACCCTAAGAAGCCTGAAACACCAATTAGAAACAATATGTGTACCCCCGTGTTCATAGCAGCACTATTTACAATAGCTAAGATTGGAAGTAGCCCAAATGTCCATCCATAGACGAACGGATAAAAAAGCTGTGGTACATATACACAATGGAGTACTGTGCAGCTGTAAGAAAGATCTCTTAACCTTTGAGACAACATGGAGAGACCTGGAAACTATTATCATAAGCGAAACAAGCCAAACAGAGAAAGACAAATACCACATGATCTCAATTATTTGTGGAATATAATGAACATAACAGTCTTAGGAATGGGGTAGTCCCAGAGATATGGAAGTGGGGTACATACTGACAATCCCCAGAAGAAGTGGTTGGGGCAGAGAAATAAACCACAGAACTTATATGCATGAATACATGACCAATGGACATGGACAACAAAGGTGGGGACAGGGCGGAGAGGGAGAAGGAGGGGGAGATCAGAGGGGGGGGAAGGAGAAACATCTGTAACAACAAATTAATTAATTAATTTAAAAAATATATTTTTGTGCTTTGTGATGAACTTGAAACGTTTTTAATCAGAAAGCAAAACCACTGTTTGAAGCACTTTTCAGTGATAAAAGTGAACTGCAGAAGATAGCTTACTTGGTTGACATCTTTGCCATCTTGAATGAGTTAAATTTATCAATGCAAGGACCAAATGCAACATGCCTTGATTTGTCTGAAAAGATCCTCAGCTTTGGCAAAAAAAAATTGGGTGAAAATAAAATATACATGTTGCCTACCTTATCTGCTTTCTTTGAGGAACATGACATTGAACCAGACAAAAGGACGGCGATGATAATTTCTGTGAAAGAACACTTGCACATGCTTGCAGACGAAATTTCCTCGTATTTTCCAAATCTACCTGACACCCCACTAGCACTTGGCAGAAGCCTATTCACAGTCAAAGTTGAAGATGTTCCTGAGACAGCACAAGAGTAGTTCATTGGCTTATTAAAAGCGATGCAGTGAGAAATGATTTCTGTACAATGCCAGTTACAAAGTTCTGGATCAAGTGTTTGCAGTCATATCCTGTTCTGTCTGAAACTGTTGTGCCTTCTTCTTCTTCCATTTCCAACAACATATATTTGTGTAACAGGGTTTTTCAGCTTGTTGGTTATCAAGTCTAAATACAGAAGTAGACTTTTTTTGGGAGAGGATCATCGTTATGCTCTTGCAAAGACTGCCCAAAGAATTTCTGATCTGGTGAGAAAGAAGCAATCTCGACCTTCACCCTGACGTTGACTTTTTATGCATACTGTCGCAAAATGTAGCAATGTAGTTTACTATTGTTATATTAAGACTGTTACCCATGCTACACCATGCTTCAAGACAAAATTTTATTTACTTGTAATTAGAAATAAATATTTCACAATATATAATTACATATTGTTTTTGTGGTTAATCACTATGTTTTAATTCTGTTCAATTTGTAACAATGAAAACACATCCTGCATATCACATATTTACATTATGATACATAACAGTAGCAAAATTACAGTTATGAAGTAGCAACGAAGATAATTTTATGAGGAACTGTATTAAAGGGTCGTGGCATTAGGAAGGTTGAGAACCACTGATTTAGAGTGTTATACGACTTATTTCATCACATTTTTTTTTTACTCTCTGGGAGGGAAGTGAGACATTTTCCCCTCTTTGAACCATCTATTTAGATCTTTCTGAGTAGAATTCTTATAATGTAACAACATGAAATCTTGCACATAAGAAGACACTCTGTCTTATCTAAAAACAGACACAGAACAACTCCTAAAGTACACGGGTGAGCACTCTCGAAAAGAGGGACTGGGCCCCAGCTCCAGAATCGTGCCTCACACCTACTGGCACAGCACAGTGACCCTCACAAGGTCTGGATGGCAAAAAGGCCAAACAGCAGAGATAGAGGATGCCCCGTGCTCATACAACAGCAAAGAGCAAAACAAGTCTCTGACAGATAGAAGGGCAAGCAGAGATCATCCAAAATCAAAGTCCCATTCCAGGCATAGTGCTCAGAGAGCTCTCAGAACAGAACACAACAGACAAATGAGAGCTCTCATACCTGTTGGTTTGTTTGTTTCATTAGTTGTTTGTGGGGCTGATACATTAAGAGCAAGAGCAGGTGTTCAGAAAAAAAAAAAAAAAAACAACAACTCTGGGCAGCTGTTGGGAAGTCCTTCAATCCCTGCCACAGGGTCAGCTCAGCACAGCAGCTGGCCCCCAGCAAAGTGGGATATGCCTCCCTCTCTAAACATAAACAAATTAAGCAAAATTACAGGCATAGTTACACAAGACAAAAACCCTAATATACAATATTTAAAAGTGCACACAACAGACAAACAAAAGTTTTATGGCTTTCTAACCCTTCCGCTGCACAGTCAGACAGCATGCAGACAGCATGCCCTGCGCCACGCAGAGCAAGTGCCCGGACTCAGCGGATCAGGCTCAGATTCAGAGACAAGACAAGGACCGTGAGAGGTCACTTGTGGCCAGAAGCTGATCAGGTTCACACCAGATGAGAGGCAACAGGCAACAGACACCTCTCATTACAAAATTACAGAATTACAGAGCTACAGATTCAACTTGAGTGAGGTGACCGGGGATGCTGGAAACAAAGGCAGGACTCTGACAGGGAAACTCTGGCATTGCTGCAGATGACCGAGTCCTCTCTTTCTGTCCCAGGAACCGCTGGGCCCGAGCAGCCAATGGGATTCCGGCACTCACCCCAGAGGGGTCCTACTTATGGTCCCAGCAGAGTCACCAAAATATGAAACCTGACAACAGAGGGGTCTGGGTTGCCTGTCACTACTTGAGCCAATTAAGCAGAGACAAGGTTGAATTGTATATAAGTGTTTATTCCAATATCGCTGGCAGTATGGGAGAGCAGAGGGTCATCCTGTAAGATCTGCTCTGACCCCATCACTTGCCAGCTGCTTTGAAAAGGTAGAGAGTAAGACGACATGAGAAAGGGCAGTTAGGCAAAAGGGGGAAAATGAGTGAAATGGTTACAGGCAAAGGGGAGGAATGTGGGCTGGGGGCTGCAGAGGCGGGTCACCAGTGAGTTGCTGTTATGGGTCCAGTGTTCCGATAATCAGGTTGTTAATTTTTCCATGGTGTCAGGTAGTGACTCTTGTCCTCAGATTAGGAGAATGGACAGCGTTCCTGAGGTAAACTCCTCCCAGCCAGGTCAGAATGGGATTTACTTTCATCAGAACAAAGCAATCATGATTTACATTATAAAGGATGATTGACATTTTCTAAAACTATGGCTAGTGCCCACTGTGATCAGTTCTCTATTATTCTCTCCCACCCTCTTCACTTTCACCTGGGGCCTTTCTCATGACCCAGTAACACATATTCACAGAGAACTTTGATTCATATTCCATTAACCCCTGCCTGTAAAGTCATCAACTGAGGGGCCAGGAGCTGGGGAGTATGAATTTATTGCTAATTGTATAATCCTAGTCACCAAGAGGAAATTTTCTGAGTTCAACAGGATTATAGCAGAGTTTCTTGATTTAATACTATTGTGGGGGCCATCCTGTTCATTGTGGGCAGTTGGAAGTATCCCTGTTCTCCTTCATCAGAGGGTAGCTGCAGCCTCTCTCGTGTAGGGCAACCAATGTCTCCCTCCAAACTTTGCCAACTGGCCCCAGGGGAGACAATAATTTTTCTCTTAGTTAAGAACCACTGGATTAGAGATATAAATGACATGCTCACCCACAGTATATATTGTCACCTTGGCACAAGGATTTACTTTTGGCTTTGCTTCTTTTTTAAATTGTTTCCCCTTTGCTGTTGTAGTTTTTTGTTGCTTGCTTGGTTGGTTAGTTGGTTTTTAATCTTAAAAGGAACCTTTACTTTAATCTTGAGTCTGTCTGCTAACACTATTGACTATCACCGTGTGCTTACCACTCAGCTAAGCATTTTACATGATTTTTTTAAAGTTTAATTATCAAAATAAGAGGAAGGTCCTATTACTACCAACTTCAGATGAGAAAAGCAAAGCACAGGACTGGACCTGGGTTTCCCTGGACTCGAGTGAGAGGGCTGCTGCTCAGACCAACCTTTTGAGCAAGGGCTCTCTGATGCCCTGTGTGCCTTCCTGTCCCCTGCTCTCCTTTTGGTGGGTGGGACCTACAACATTACTAGTGTGTGCCCTTTAATTCCTGATCTCAGGATATGAACAAATGGGTTAAAATTTGGTCTATGAATCATGATCACACACATGTGCATTTAAATCATGTGCCATGTGCAGTTTATGGAAACTTTGGTTTAATTGCCAGAGGAGAGCCGGCACTGACTATGGACATGTCTTTCTCTTGTCACCACCAGAGTGTCTCTATGTGTTCCCCTGCCAGTGGAACTACCGTCCTGATCACTGCATGTATGGAAGCAACTGCAGAGGGGCTGAGCTTGAAGGTGTGTCTGTTCTGCATGGGAACCGAGGTGTCTACCATGATGATAAGCAGCCAACTTTTAAAGCACTCTATGAAGCAGTACGGGATGTAAGTGTGTTGTTGCCTCCACTCAGCAGACATGTGCTTACCAGCCTGAAGCAGGATGAGTGCTTCAGTTATCATTTTCTTTGAAGACCAAATAATTCCCCACAGGCATTGAGTTATAGCAGTTTTCCCCAAACTCAGTCACTGTATCTCAGTATACGCACTTGCTCCCTAATACTACATTTTATTCACTCTTTACTTGGTGTTTCCAAGTAAGTCATTCACTTTTGTTCCCTTAAATTCACTAAAGGAGGAAGTTTTGTATCAGAAAGAGAAACCTTGTGCCAGTTGCCATAATGGAGGGTAATGGGCTAGGAAAAGATAGTACAATAAAAATAAAATGATATTCATTTCAAGGTACGTGTGTGGCCTGCTGGTCAGTGTGTATAACCTGTTGAGCAATTAGGTGTGGAGGTGGTCAATCAGGACTAGAAGCCAAACTGGAAATAACAGTCCAATCATTATCTATGTCCTGCAACTGAACAAGCAGAGGGAGAAGCAGCACCAGCTCTTCAGTGTTCAATGCTGCATTTTCACCCACCAAAGTGCTGAGTAGGGATCAAAGGGATGCAGCACAAACGCAGGAATCATCTCAAGGCTCCTGAAATTTTATGGACCCCAGGCCACGGACAGGGTGGGGGTGGGGCTGAGAAGGAAAGGAGTGAGAGGGAGGAGTGGGAAGGTAACCCCCTCTCCCTCTTCCCCACAAGATATCCTCCAAATGGAGGTGCCTGGGATGGGAACGCAGGCATGCAGATGAGCAGGCGGGATAGGCGCTGGGTGTGACTGAACCGTCCTAGAAAAAATATAGTGCACCACTCATGCGCCAAGACTGGTGTGCGGAGGGCAGCCTTTCCCCAGAGGTTTACCAAGAAGCCTTGTAATTGCCGATGGTTGAGTCAGAGAGCTCATACATAAGATTTTGGCCTGGAACTGCACTCCTCAAGGCCTGAGGTCCCCTCTTACTATCTTGAAGGATTGATTAGCAAATGTTGAGGAGGACTTAAAGACAGATGTGAACTGTCTTTTGCAATAAATGGGAAGATCAAAATAACCTGACTTTGAGGTTAACCACCTAAAATCATGTAAAGTACTGTCTACTGGTGCTGTAGTCCCCCCATATTCATGGGGTTCGAGCACCGAGTGGATGCCTGAAACTGCACATAGTACTGAGCCCTGCATATACAATGTCTTTTCCTGCATAGTAGTAGTTCCTCTTATTCGTAGATTTACTTTCCATGGTTGCAGTTACCCACAGTCAACCATAATCCAAAAATAATAAGTGGAAATTTTCAGAAATAAATCATTTAAAAGTTTAATTTGCATGCCTTCCTAAGCATCATGAGAAATCTCACGTGATTAGTCACCGAGGAGACATTTGTTTATTAGAGTACACTGTAAAATTGATCTATTTTACTATTAGTTATTGTTCATTTACCTTGCCTAATAGATAAATTAATTTTTTTATTAATGACAGTATTACAGATGTACCCCATTTCCCCCAATTTTTCCCCCCTTCACCCAGCCACCACACAACGCCAGGCCTTCACCACTTTATTGTCTGTGTCCATGGTCTATGCATATGTGCATATATGTTCTTTGGTTAATCTCTTCTTGTCCCCCCTACACCCACCTCCCCACTGAGATCTGTCAGCTTTTCTATCCAGTCATCCACTGATGGGCACTTGGGCTGTCTCCAGATCTTAGCTATTATAAATAATGCTACTATGAACTTAGGGGTGCATATGTTGTTTCTGATTGGTGTTTTGGCTTCTTCGGCTATATTTCTAGGATTGGGATGACTGGGTCAAATGGCAGTTCCATTAATAATTTTTGAGGAGCCTAGCCAGTGTGGCTCAGTGGTTGAGTGTCGACCCATGCACCAAGAAGTTGCCGGTTCATTTCCTGGTCAGGGCACATGCTCAGATTGTGGGCCAAATCCTCAGTGGGGGGCATGCAGGAGGCGGCCAATTAATGTTCTCTCTCATCAATGTTTCTATCTTTCTCTCCTTCTCCCTTTACAGGTGTGAGGTGGTACCTCGTTGTAGTTTTAATTTGCATCTCTCTGATAATTAGTGACACTGAGCATTTTTTTTCATATGTCTGTTGGCATCTGTATGTCGTCTTTGGGAAAGAGACTATTCAAGTACTTGGCCTATTTTTTAATTGGATTGTGTTTTTTTCCTGGTGTTGAGTTGCATAAGTCCTTTATATATTTTAGAAATTAACCACTTATCCAGTGTATTATGGACAAATATATTCTCCCATACAGTGGGATATCTTTTCATTTTGTTGGTGGCTTTTTTTTTTTTTCTGTGCTAAAGCTTTTTACTTTGATGTAGGCTCATTTGTTTATTTTTTTTTCTTTATTTCTCTTGCCCTAGGAGATGTATTAGTGAAAAATCTGCTACATGAGATATCTTAGACTTTACTGCTATGTATTCTTCTAGGATTTTTATGGTTTCCTGGGTTATATTTAAGTATTTTATCCATTTTAACTTGATTATGGTGAAAAGTTGGTTGTCTAGTTTTATTTAATTTTTTTTGCATGTACCTGTCCAGTTTTCCCAACATCATTTATTGAAGAGAGTGTCTTTACTCCATTGTATGCTTTTTCCTCCTTTGTCAAATATTAATTGGCCATAATAGCATGGGTGGCTTTCTGGGCTCTCTGTTCTGTTCCATTGCCTTTTTCTTTGCCAGGACCAGGCAGCTTTGATTACGGTGGCATTGTAGTACAGTTTGTTATTCAGTATTGTGATCCCTCCAACTTTGTTCTTCTTTTTCAAGGTTGTTGAGGCTATTTGGGGTTTTAAATAAATTTAGGGAATATTTGTTCTAGAACTGTAAAATATTCCACTGATATTTTAATAGGGATTGCACTGAATCTATAGATTGTATCAACATTTTTTTATTTTATTTTATTTTATTTATTTTTTATCCTCACCCAAGGATATTTTTCCATTTTTTGTACAGATAGAGTGGGAGGGAGAGAGAGGAAGGGAGAGAGAGAGAGAGAAACATCGACGTGAAGGGACACATCGAGTGGCTGCCACCCGCACGACCAACCAGGGGCAGGGACAAACTGCAACCGAAGTACGTGCCCTTAGCGGGAACCGAACCCGGGTCTCTCCGGACGGCAGGCTGACGCTCTAACCGCTGAGCCAAACCGGCCAGGGCTGTATCAACATTTTAAAGATGTTAATTCTTTCAATTCATGAACATGGTATATGCCTTTACTTGTTTGTGTCTTCCTCTATTTCTTTTCTCAACGTCCTATAGTTTTCCAAGTATAGGTCTTTTACCTCCTTGGTTAAGTTTATTCCTAAGTGCCTCATTTTTTTGTTGTTGTTGCAATAGTAAATGGGATTATTTTTTAGTTTATTTATTTATTTATTTCTGAGAGTTCATTATTGGTGTATAAAAATGCCATTGATTTCTGGGTATTATTATATATTTTTCTACTTCTTCAAACTTCTTTATTAAACCTAGTAGGTTTTTGGTGGAGTCTTTAGGGTATTCTATGTACAATATCATGTCACCTGCAAATAATGACAATTTTACTTCCTCTTTTCCAATTGGGATGCTTTAAATTTATTCCTCTTGTCTGATTGCAGTGGCTAGGACATCCAGTACTATGTGGAATACAAGTGGTAAAAGCAGACATCCCTGTCTTGTTTCTAATCTTAAATGAAATGCTTTTAGTGTTTACCCATTGAGTATGATATTGGCTGTAGATTTTTCATGTATGGCCTTCATTATGTTGAAGTATGATTTTTCTATTCCCACTTTGCTAAGGGTTTTTACCTTAAATGGGTACTGCATTTTGTAGAATGATTTTTCAGCATCTATTAATATGATATTATGATTTTTATACTTAGTTTTATTTATGTGATGTAACACATATATTGATTTGTGAGTATAGTACCAACCTTGCATCCCCAGACTAAATCCCACTTGGTCATAGCATATAATCTTTTGAATGTATTGCTGGATCTGATTTGCTAATATTTTGTTGAGGATTTTAGCATCCATGTTGATCAGGGAATTTGGCTTGTAATTTTTTTTTCTTTGCACTCTTTATCTGGTTTTTAATTAGGATAATGTTGACTTTATAAAAGAGCTTGGAAGTCTTTCTTCTTTTTGAATTTTTTGGAATAGTTTGTAGATGGTAGGTGTTAGTTCTTTAAATGTTAAGTAAAAGTCCCCTATGAAGCCATCCAGTCAAGGATATTTGTTTGCTTGAAGTTTTTTTGTTTTGTTTTGTTTTTATCCTGACCCATAGACATTTTTGCACTTATTTTCAGATAGAGTAGGAGGGAGAGAGGGGGGAAGAGAGAGAGAGAGAGAAATATCGATGTGAGAGAGACACATCGACTGCTTGCCCCCAACACAACCCCTACCGGGGCTGAGGACAAACTGCAACTGAGGTACGTGCCCTTAGTGGAAACCAAACTCAGGACTCTCTGGTCTGTGGGCTGACGTACTAACCACTGAGCCAAACTGGCCAGGGCTACTTGGCATTTTTTTATTACTTCTTTACTTTCATTAGTTATTACTGGTTCATTAAGGTTTCCTGATCCTTTCTGATTGAGTTTTTGAATATTGTATATTTCTCGAAATTTGTCCATTTAGCCCAAGTTGTCCAATTTGTTGTTATATAGTTATTCATAATATTTTCTTACAATCTTTTGTATTTTTGTTGTGCCACTTGTTATTTTGACTCTTTTTATTTCTGATTATATTTATTTGGGTCCTCTCCCTATGTTTCCTGATGAGTCTGGCTAAAGATTCATCAATCTTGTTTATCTTTGCAAAGAACCAACTCTGGTTCCATTGATCTGCATTGTTATTTTAGTCTCTATGCCATTTATTTCTGCTCTCATCTTTACTATTTACTTTCTTCTGATTACACTGGGCATTTGTTTTTGTTCTCTTTCTAGTTCTTTTAGGTGTAGGGTCAGATAATGTATTTGATATTTTTCTTGTTTCTTGATGTAGGC